GGCTCGGGATCCCGCACGAGCGCTCACCTCGGCGCCTCAACCCCGGCGCCCTCCAGCAAAGACCTCAAGTTCGGCATCGACCGCATTCTGTCGGCGGAATTCGACCCCAAGGTGAAGGAAGGCAACACGCTGAGAGGTAGGTCTCCGGCTTCAGCCTCCCCGGACCGTGCGCCGACCAGTCCCGGGCCCAGGCCGCCCGGGTGCTTCGGGTGTTCCCATGATTAAGGACAAATGGGGGACGGAGGAGAAGAAAAGGCGGTGTAAGCAAACATCAAACACCAGGTTTAAAACTCATCAGCTTTATGTAACCAAAAAATCCTAAGGATGTCTGTGAACTGGCTGGGGAAATACTTGCAGAGATGATAGTCACTGGTCACGTTCTGCATCTCATACCTAGAGACAGAACTGTACACTCCTGGCAGGGAAGGCCCGCGAGGCCCGTTTTCCTCCCTATTTCTCCCACTTCTGGTAAAATCCCACGTAAACTAAACCGTTGGCCTCAGCTCCAGGCGCGGTGGGTCGGTGCTGGCGGGCGTGCGAGCTGGGGCAGTGGCTGCTGTCGGCAGAGAGGCCTCCCCGGCGTCCCCGCAGCAATGGGCCCGGGCGCACGAAGCTGGGCGCTCCGCAGAACCCGGGTTCTCTTTCTGGCCTTCCCGGACCTGGCTACCGCGAGCCCCAGGGGAAAGCGGAGGGCGCTGGTGACCGCTCTCTCCTCCCCGCAGACCTCACCTCGCTGCTGGCCGGAGGGCGCCCGGCCGCTGTGCACCTCTCGGGGCTGCAACCCTCCGCCGGCCAGTTTTTCGCGTCCCTGGAGCCCATGAACGAGGCCTCTGCTCTGCTCAGCCCCTTAAGCTCCAACCCGAGAAATTCAGTTCAGCATCAATTCCAAGACACATTTCCAGGTACGGAAAACGTCTGAACCGCGGCTGGGTGACTGAAAGCCCAGGGCTGCGGCTGCCTCAGTGTCGCAATACTGTAGCTGGGCCTGGACACTTCGAGGTCAGAGAGAGAGAGAGAGAGAGAGAGAGAGAGAGAGAGAAACCGAAAGATTTCTGGGGCAGCACCGAGCACAGGCTCTGGGCGGACCGTGTGGGGCGCGGCGAGAGGGGCAGGGGTGCCTGGGGACCAGCACAGTGTGTGCAGGCTGGTGTGGCACTGGAGGAGTCGCTGCCCCAGCCTTTAGGCTAGAAAGGGTGGTTTAAAAGTGGGCATCGAAGACGTGGCTGTTAATAAGCTCTTGATGTAGCACATTTTGGATTGCCACAAACATGTCTGCATGGTGCGGTTACGTCCACGTCCGTGGCCACTTGCGGGAGTGCGCATAGGCCAGCAGCAGAGACAGGATTATGGCCCCTTTGCACCCGCTGGCTGAGCATTCGGCTGCGTTTCCCCTCGAAATCACTGCTCCAACCGCAGTTGGCCTCTTCAGGCCTTGGACCTCAGCAAGGCCCTTGCCGTGCACACAGCCTTTTGAACACAGAGCCAGGGTCCCAGGCTGCCACCTGTAACTGAGCGGCCTGGGTCTCTGTTCCCTGCGCCTGCCCGCCCGTGCAGGTCCCTACGCGGTGCTCACCAAGGACACCATGCCGCAGACGTACAAGAGGAAGCGCTCCTGGTCTCGCGCAGTCTTTTCCAACCTGCAGCGGAAAGGCCTGGAGAAAAGGTTTGAGATCCAGAAGTATGTGACCAAGCCTGACCGAAAGCAGCTGGCGGCGATGCTGGGCCTCACCGACGCACAGGTGAGCGTCCTGGTTACCCTGGCAGGCTAAGACCTCATCCCGGCCCAGGCCCAAACTCGAGGTCTGGAACCGGAGGCCCGACAGGGGTGGGGGCAGGTGAGGTCCTGAAGCTACAAGTTTGCTTTGGCCACCAGCTGTGGGCCTCCGAGATGCTCATTACGCACTGAGCCCAGCACAGTTTGCTCTAGGAGGCAGAGGCAGTTTATTTCAGGAGAGATAGAGACCCAAAGTCTAGAGATTGTTGTTGACTTTTCTCTTCCACCCTTTTCCCTCCTCCTCACTGCCCCGCGGTATTGTGAAATCTCTGCTGAGAGGAAGTGAAAATATCTTTCAAACGGAATTGCTTAGCTCTGGTAGGGCAAGGAGTCTGCAGCCGAAGTCCCATCCTAACGGCTAGGCTAGGCTGGGCAGAAAGTCTTGGAAAGAAAGAGCAGATTTTCCTAGAACGCCCAAAGGCATCTCAGCAGGTTTGGCCTGATGGATTTTCCCCCCAAGACAATAGGAAGTCGTTTGTGCCTGGATTCCTTTTTCCTTAGATTCAAGAACCAGGCTTTCTTTTCCTTTTCTTTTTTTCTGTTTGAGCTTTGACCACAGTGGAGTCCCCCGTTCCCCTTCCTGCCAGCAGCGGCTCTCCCTACCCTGACTACCCAGCAAGGCGAGGTGGCGGGAGGCCTTGGTCGGACTCCTGCCTCTGCCCTCTGTTCTGCATTACACAGCTCCTCTGCGAGCGCGTGGACCGCCAGCCCGCCGTTTCCACCAGCTGGGATGTTATTTTTAAAAGAGAAGTTGGAACTTGTGAAGATGTGTTGGGTCCCCCAGGGGATCTTATATATTTATGTGGGTTCTCCGTTCTGTTCCCTCCTCCACTTTGCACACATTTCATTCCAGCGTTTTCCGAGGCCCCTGGGAATTAGCTTGTGCTTTCCAGGGGGCAGGATCCTTAGCAACTGTGTGGTGAAACCATAAGGAGGAAATTCTCTTCACTGAAGACTAGTGGTGCCGCACCCCTCTGGGATGAGCTCTTTGGGTCCCCTTCCCCCTTCCTGCTTCCCAGTGCAGTGATTTGCTTTGGGTAGTGGCAATGGAGGACAAGGCCAGCCTTGAGATGGGGTGCACTTTCCTGGGTCAGGAGACCCTGACTTCAATTCTTACTGGGGCGGGAACTCAGGGCACTCATGCCATTGCAGCCTGTTTGTGTCACGGAAAGCTCTGAAAGGTTCACTGTCAGTGGCTTAGAGCCTGGAACTTCACTAGCGTAGCGGCCCTGTTTCGAGGAGGCTCCCGGAGGACTCCCAGACTCCTTTTCCCTTGCCTGCCTGCCTCTTGGCCAGCCTTCTCTGCACCTGGCTTTTGGTGGAGGCACTGGGTGGTCTTGGAGGGCCAGCGCCGGCGGCCGTGCTCACCGCCTGTCCCTGTCCCGCGCTCAGGTGAAGGTGTGGTTCCAGAACCGGCGGATGAAGTGGCGGCACTCCAAGGAGGCCCAGGCGCAGAAGGACAAGGACAAGGAGGCCGGGGAGAAGCCTTCGGGAGGAGCCTTGGGCCAGGGCAACCAGGAAGAGGGGAGCCCCAGCCGCTCGGAGGGCGAGCCAGAGAGCGAGAGCAGTGACTCCGAGACCCTGGACCTGGCGCCCAGCGACTCGGAGCGGACTGAGGGGCCGGAGCAGCCCCTGCACCCGGCCTCGGTCATCAAGGCCTCGACTGCCACTGCCCTGGTCACGGCTGGCAGTGGCGGCGGTGGTGGCTGCACTTTTGGCTTCAGCAGCCCGAGCAGCCTCGGGGGCACCAGCGCGGGCAGCGGCACCTCGGAGCTGCTCCCGGAACCCCAGCCCGCAGGTGGCAGCTGTGCTCCCCAGAGCCCTGTGCCCAGCCAGGCCCTGCCAGGCGGTTTATAGACCTAGAGGACAAGGGACCCGCGGCCGGAGGGCAGCTTCCGGGCGGGCTGGGCTCCGCGCCTGCGCCCAGTGGTCGGGACACGCCGGGGACACGCCGGCCCCTTCTCTACTTCATGCCTGTGGCCGATCTTGCTCTTGGCACCAGCAGCTCCCCCTGGGAGCGCGGGGCTAACCTGCTCCTCCTTGTGCCCGCCCCCCCCCGGGGTCGTGGCATAAAGGCTTAGCAAACCTGAAACTTGTAAATAAAATGTTTACTATGGTTTGTAAAAGGCCTGAGGCTTACTGGGCTGGTGCTGTGGCCACGTGGTGCAGTTCCAGGACGTGAGCTGGGCCACTCAGAGCAGCACAGCCCGCTGGGTCAGACCCGCAGCTCTGTGTAGATTGTGCACCGGCTCAGACGTCCCACATGATGCAAAGGCCACAGCCTGGGCCAGCGCCACGGGGTCTGCGCTTGCGAGAGGAGCTACCAGTCCGGCCGCCTGCCCCACACCTGTCTTTGGAGTCTCTTTGGACCGAGGCCCCCGGCAGTTGGAGTTCAGGAGGCAGTGGTGTCAGACAGGGACACCCGAGGTGGCCGCACCCTTTGTTCAGGGCTGGGGCTGGGGCAGGTGCCGGCGTGCAGGGTCTCCATAGGGCAGCAGTTGTCAAAAAGGCTGTGCAGCCAGCGGGTGATGCGGAGGCAGAACCGGGCCTCTCTCCGACCAGCGATGAAGCTGTGAAGCCGACCCCATCCCACTGCACTCCCCCCAGAATTCCCCACTTGAACTTGAGCTGGAGGCCCTGCTCCAGCAGCTCCTCTGCTCCACTGCCGCCGCCGTGTGAGGGGAAGGGGCAGAGTGCGGAGCCCGCTGTGCCCGATGCTGCCCCGAAGTTGTTTTGTGATTGTTTTTGAGGAGTAAGGCCAAACCTCTTTCAAGACCTATCGTCGTCCTGGGTCTCCTTCCCTCTAAAGGACTAAATGGATGCGGCAAATACTTTTTGGCACCCAGAGTGGGTGGGTGCCGATCCTCTCCGGCTGGTGTCCGGTGCCGGGTAGTCAGTCTGTCCGCACAGCAGGCCAGCACGCTGAGCCAGAGCCCAAGGACGCTCTGCGGCCCTGCTCAGAGAGGCTGTGGTGGTGCCCATCTTCCTTTCTTCCCCACTGCCTCCCGCGCTGGGGTGGGAAAGAGGCCACAGGTGCAGCCTGGGCTGGCACAGTCCTGGAGCCCAGGCCAGACCAGCCTCCAGCCCAGCCCTCCCAAGCTGAGCCCCAAGGGCATCCAGAAAGCAGCAGGACTCCGGCCTAAATAGATCCCTAATTGTTCCCCAGGAATCTGCTCCCCCAGGGCAGCCCCCTGCTGTGGGCCTGGCTGTAGGTAGGGGTCCTCCTTGGAAGCCTCCACAGCTCTGATGTGCTAACCTCTGGATTCTCTCTGGGCTTTAACTTTGCCTGCATCACTCAGACTCATTTCCTGTGCTCCCCAAATACTATAATTCTGGATCCAGAACGTCCCAGGAGGTTGAGTTTGGAGCCACTTAAACCCACTCCGGGAGTTCAGGCTGATGACGTGGCGACAAGGGATTTCTATGTATGATTTGAGCAGAGGAGCAGGGCTACCCAGGAGGCCCAGTGCTCAAGTCCCTGCACATCTTCCTGGGCCAGGGCTTGGACGTGGAGGATTCCCAGGGAATGCAGCGGTGGGATTTCAGGCCACAGGCCAGGTTCTGCCGTGCAGCAGGGTGCAGGAACTGGGGACCTAATTATCCTGGGGGTGGGTACCCTGAGCCAGAATCTGGGGTCTGGTGTTTCTGGGGACACATGAGGTGAACCTTCCCTCCCACCAAGTTCCTGAACCCTCATCTCCTGAAACTCAGAAAGGATTTATCGGGGAGTGGAATTATTCTGCAGTTCCATCCGAAACGAAGCATCTGAGCCCATAAAGCGTGATGTTTGGAAGAAGAGCAGCCACAGGAGGAAATGCTGCTGCAGTTCAGGCTCTGCCTCATGTCCTCTGCCAGCTCCTGGAGTCCCCGAGTGCCCCTGGACAGCAGGGTCCAGGTTGTGATGCCTGAAGAGAGGCCTGAGTGTGAGTGACACAGAGCTGCCCGCAGCCTGGGGCGGAGGCTGGAGGGAGCTGATCCAGTGCGGGCCACCGGGACCTGGCTTCCGGTGGGCTGTCTGACCCAGACGGCAGGGCCTCTGCTTGCCTTGCAGGAGTTAAAGCAGGCCCTGAACTCTGCATGTGGAGGCAGTGGGAGCCAGGCTCCCTAGGAACACAGGAGATAGCTGACTTCGAGGCACAGCCATGGGTACAGTTGTGTACCTCGCAGAGGAAGTCTGAGCCCTGATCCATCACTTCCAGTCCACCTCACAACCCTCTTTGAGGACTCAGGTCCACAAGTCCCTCTGATCCCCTCCCAACCTCAGCTGTGGCAGGAAAGAAGCCCAGCAGCTCCGGGACCCTGTCCCTGCCTGGGTCTGGAGTGCATCACAGGAGGGACCAGGCTGTGGCTGCAGGTAGGACGCAGAGAAATTATCCGTTCTCTCCAGGCCTCCTAGAGGCACCAAGGCCAGAGCGAACCCAGATAGAACCTGGGCTCATGTCCTACGCTGGGCCAGGACAGCAGCCTGGGGCAGTGCCCAGCCTGCCCCAGGGGGTCCTGCAGCTTTAGACTCACATGTAATCTGCAAACCCGTCTGCAGTGTGGCTCTACCTGGCCAGACAGTCGCCTATAAGCAGCCCCCAGACTAGGGTTGGGAAGGGGAAGTCAGGCGGGAGGATAAGGGATCCCTGCCCTCCTCCCTCTGGCCTGTGCTTTTCTGAGAAGGAAAGCCTGGGGTGGGGACTGCAAGCTCGGTCCCACCTCTCCTTGGTCCACCTTGGAGGTGCTGCATTAAGGGTGGTCCAGAGGACCTGGAGCCACAGGACAGAGGTTCCCCCTCCACCCCCACCCCCAGCATCTGGGTGGGGGCGGGGGACGGCACTCCCGCGCTCCTGAAGACCGGGTGTTGGGTTTCAAGGACTGGCTGCCGCTGGGGAGGGAGCTGCTGCAGCAGTAGACCCCCAGGGCCTCCCTTCTCTGAGTGGTGGGATTGAATGCCTCCCACAGACGGAGGTCCTGCTCCGCTCCCGGCCTCTCCTGCCACGGGCTCTGCAGAATCCCGCTGCTGATGCTGCTGCAGCTGCAGGCTGGGGTTGGCCTTCCTAGGACACCCCAAACCGGATCTAAGGGAGCCCTGCCCGCCCAGGCTGCGTGCAGCGCTGCTGGCCTTGTGCGCCTTCGCGGCCCTGCCCCGGTCCTTTTCCCTCATTTCGGGAACGAGATGTTCCTGCGTAGCCCACAGCTGGAGGACACTCGCCAGGGTCCCCCGGATGGCGAGCGCAAGGCCCTCTTGGGGTGCACTGAAGAGTGCTTAGGGACTGTCTGCATCCAAACTCAGGCTCCAGGGGTGGGTGCTGGGTTCTTGGTGTCCCGTGAAGCCCTCCAGGAGCCAGCACACCCTGCAAGGGGGACCCGGTGCTTTGGCTTTTGCTGTTTGGGGTTCTGGGGGCGGAGCATCTTCTTCCTTCCTTCTCTGTGGACTCTGAGCCACCTCTGCCCGGGCTGGGCAGCCCGGCGGGTGGGCGGGGAGCACAGGTAAAGCCTGGACCTCTCTCCATCCAGCCCCACGACCGGCTGCAGGCCTGGAAAACCCATGGAGTCTTCGGCTTGCCTTTGCTCAAGAATTCAAGGCACCAGCCGGGTCTTACGCTGCTGCGAGTTTAAATTTAGCCGCCTTCGGGTCCCACCATTCTGCCATCAGTCTTCCTCGGGGTGCGCAAAGGGGAGGGATGCAGGGCGTTCCCCACGCCCCAGGAGACCAAGCCACTGGTGGGGAGGGGCTGTGTCCCCTGATTCCCAGACACCCTCGCGTGAGCAGGCTGCCACATCCTCTCCTTCAAGGGCTCCTGGAGTCACATCCAGCCTCCCGAGGCCCTCGTTTGCGTGCGTGTGTGTGTGTGTGTGTGTGTGTGGCTCCTGTAAGTTGGGAGGAAAAGCTGGAGTTTTCTGACACTTCGCGTTTGAAGGAAGTTCCGGCAAGTATTTGGGGTGTGTGGGGGGATTATTTGCCTGCTGTTGCAATTCTGCAGGTACAAATACTGCTTGCGGGATTTTAAGTTCTTAACACCATCTCGGGCAGGGGCCTTCCGAAAGGGAAACAGGAAATTTATCTCTTTGAAGGGCAAAGAGGTGTTTTGTTTTGTTTTGTGTTTTAGATGCTGGAATGAAACCCAGGGCCTGGAGGAGGCAGAGCCCCGCCTGTCTCTGAGCTTCACTCCAGCTGCTGCTGCTTTTGTACCCACTACCCTCCCACCCCCGGCCTCTCAGGAGAGGCGCTGGAATCGAACCCAGGGCCTTCGCACTGACCAACATCCTAACCTTTTTTGATTTTGTTGTTGTTGTTGTTTTTATTGTCTTGAGACTGCTAAATCCCACTAAATCGATAAATTGCCCAGGCTGGGCAAGGACTTGTGATCCCCCTGCCTCAGCTTCTTAGAGTGCTGGGATTACAGGTCAGGTCCCACCTTTTGACCAGAAGGGCAGGTCTCTGCCAAGGGACGGAGAAATTCCAATGCGAGCGACCCAGGGCACGAGGCGAGGCACCCGCATTCGGTAAACAAACGAATAAAGACATTGCTGCGGCTTCCGTGGCTGTATGAGACATCGGCGCGTCCCGGTCAGAGGTGCAGCCCCGGGGTCCGGAGCGAGACGGAGACCCGGGTCCCATGCTGCGCGCGGCTGCGG